ACATGTGTTCATGGTTCATTCAGAAAAGCTCGAAAATCAAAAAATAATGACCTGGATTGGACGCAGCATTATAGCTTTGTTGATTCTGGGTGGATGGCGTGCCATCGCTGTCCGGGTTTTTATCTTCGTTTTCAGATCTGACTGCATTCTGACTTGCAAAATTCCTCTGTTCGCTGAATGGGTTGAAATTCCCAGCAGCAGCACCCTTCCAGTTCATGATGTCACCGATATTTTTGAATCCCGATTTGCCGAGCATCGTATTCCAGTCTTCATTGTTGTTACCACTTACGAGTGATGGCGCACCACCTTGCAAAAGGTTTTTTTGATTTTGCCACAGCCCAGAGCCTAATCCAGAACTATCCATTCTGGAATCAGGAGTAGCCGCATTCTTGGCTTCCAGCTGTTTTATTTCTTCTTCCGTATAATTTGCGTTCTTCATAGCAGCTTCACATTCGTCCTCATGAATGCATTTTCCTTGAGGAGCTCGACGATATCCGTGCATTGGAGAACACCAGCAGGATGGTGGTCGGCAGTAGAGTAGGCATGGTGTCTATAATTAATAATGGACTAAAAAAAGTATGTTACTCTGTATTTTCGGTTAGCTAAAATTTAACATATTAAAAATCATTATAAATTTAATTGACAAATGTGAATACTATCACCTTAATTTAATTCAGGAAGCTTACAATTATTGCACACTATATGTAGCTCATTGTATCTGATCCTGATACACAGAGACTTGTAGCCGGAATCAATCGCTAAAAATCTCGATCCTAATTTTTGATCCGTGGTCTATTTCTGAACTTGGGATCAGGGATTTGTGGGGCTTGATATTCCAGACTAATTATTTGCTTGAAACGATTAAACTGAAAATTGTTTGGATGCAAACTGATGGCGAGTTTGACTTCCGCACATAATTTAGTACCAAATTACTACCGAAATGCATAAATGGATCGCAGAGGGACTGGTTGTCTCACTGGCGGAGTTTAATGCTCGATGTTCCGCATGATGGCAGTGCTACTTCCAACTACACCCATGCCAAAGTCAATTTATAATCGTGTGAAATCAGTTTTTCTGTTACTATATTTGCCTCCAGATCTCACATTCCTCGAAACGTCAGGACTGCAACTGTTGGATGAAGCAAGCAAGAAATTTCGAAGTTTGGCGTTATGTGACAAAAATTTCAAAGCGAGCATATTAATGTACAACGCAGTTTTATATGCTCCAAACTATTCATTCATTCTGGACCTGCAAAGCGATAACGCATGGCTACGCCAACCTCCCGGTATGCAAAACAGTTTATCATTTTTTAGCTGCTAGTTATCAAACTTCTGCATCCTGGTCGCATCGTAATTCGCAGCCAGTGCAGTCGGTCCATATTTCGTTTTCTCCGCACTCTTCTCTCTGCGTGCCTTGTAGAACCGATTGCATGATTGGCATCTAAACTGATAAATGAGCAAGACCTGAAGTGAATCCCGAAGTGAATTCAAACATGCTACTTGTTAATTACGCAAAATTTCGGCAAATTTCAGGCTTGAAGCCCGAACTAACTGAAACCTAAGAGTAATGAAAAATGTGAGTTTTCGTCAATTTTTTTACATGCTTTTTCTCAGGACTTTAAATCACGCTGATGGGAATTAATTACCGGGAAATATTTTGCCAGAAGCGCAAGTGAAAATTAAAAGAAAATTTTAGGACTGAAAGGAAGGGCGGGACTAGTTGAAAAAAAAAGAAAACAATACCAAATAGGCTAAATACATCATTGTATACGGCGACGTATTGAAAGCGGGACAAATTCTGTCAAGTGGTTCTGATAACTATCAGAAAATTGTTACAACTAAACGACAGTTCAATACTGAGTGTAATCCGTACAACCAATTTGCATGTTGTTTTGATAAAACCAACAATTCATGTTTTCATGCGTTTCTTTGTTTCACGCGGTATTATCAATGACACTGCTTGGAATTACAAACGCACTACAACTGCACCAGAGCGTGGAATACCAAAATCCAAGCAAACTGCATGGCTTTGATTACAGACAGCTTAAGGAAGCCTTAATCTAAACTGATTTTTCGCGGGGTCTTTCTAACCTTAAGATGACAAGGTCGAGAAAACGTGGCTTTCGCAACAACAACTGCACCAATGGCGAGGAGATACTCGATGACGATAATAAAGCTAATGAAAGTATCAAAATAACGTAAAGAATTTTTTATTCATTAATTATCAATGTGGTAATAAAAGACATATCGCACAAAATATACCAGTATACTAAAATTCTTTGCGAAAAAAAGCGAGTATTTATGGCTTGCTCATTGAAGAGAACAAACAACTGCCTTCTTTGATCTCTCCTCTGGTAGCGACACCGCATAACCATAAGAGCAATTTTTCAATTTCAGCAGCGAGTATCAGTCTATCTAATGACGAGATCAAATGTTTCAGAAACACTTCAAAAAAGAAAACATTTGTAGGATATGTTTGGTGAATGAATACAGCAAACACTTGTAGAAATAGTCAGAAATCCATTTTGCCAGTACGAGGAAGGTAATTAGTGCTCAGATCCAGGATCTGGGCCAAACTAAGAAAAGTGTAGCGTCTATGCAGATCGGACAATGTCATCCAGAAGACCTTTAGCCCGCATCAGGACTGTCATTTGGGTCACGGAATGAGCCCCAGCTGCTGATGCTTCGTGAGTATCCAG